TCACCCAGTGACAGCAAGAATAGCTGGAGACCCCAGGAGAATCCCAAGATTTGAATATGGGCCTAGACGTGGGGGAATCTTAGCAACCTGAGCCCACTTGTGAACACAGGGGTCTCCTAGCAACTTGAGCCCACTTGTGAACACGGGGGTTCCCCTCCCTTCTTTCGATCTATACAGTGCAGTGTCCATGCTCTGAGGCTCTGAGTCCAGGTTCCTTGACAGTGTCTTCTCAGGTCTGATTCTGTTTCAGGCTCTCACGGAAAGAGTGCCCCCTGCCATTGTCACTGCCTTTCCCTGCTAGTGTTGCAATGAACCATTTAGAGTTCTTTGTTATAATATTGTTTTTAAATAACGGTATTTTTAAATTATAAAAGCAGTACATGTTTGTATAAGAAATTTGGAAAATAGAGGAGCTTCATAGTTCAATCCTGGCTGTTGAGAAGGCCTCCAAAAACAGTGATGCTCATAACAAGAAGCCGTGAAAGGGCCCTGGTGGCATCCTCAGATATCTTGTCTTTTTATCTCCTGGCTCCTCCAGAGGCTTCTCTAGTTTTGGGCCAGTGCCCAGGTTTTAGACAGCATAGGAGTCACTGCCTATGCTATGTACCCTGTGAATAAAACATTTTTTACACTGAGAACGCTAAATTTGGAGATAGATCTCATGACTGTTAGAGATTCCTGTTACATTGGCTCAGAGATTAGTCAGGGATCATAGAACAGTGCCACAAAGCTCATGGTCTTAAAGGAAAAATTCTGCTTTGCCACTGTGAATATGGGAGATCACACCCTCTTCTTCCTGCCTCCTGGGGATACCACGATAGAATGAAATGTTGTTATGGGCCATCATGTGTCTCTTGAGGAAGCTGCTGGAGACAAACAAGCAGAAAGTTTGTAAACTTGTGGGACACACTGGTAGAGGTGTGCACAGTTGTAGAGATCAGCAGCCCTCAGGGCAGATGAGCCTGAGGCAGCTGGAACCCTGTGTTGGTAGCGTCTGTCTATGAGCTGCCCCCTCTTTTTGCCCCAGAGTGTCACACAAATATAATTTTTTATGTGTGGTGTGGTATGACAAAGTTGGGAAACATTGTTCTATACGATGGTCCTCAACGTTGGTTCCATGAGAGGATGACGGGTGCACTCAAGATGCACTCCTAGGGGTCACTTGAATGAGTCTTGAGACAGATAGGACTTTGGAGGTTACATCTTGCCCACTCATCGAGTCCATGCACATTTCTCACAGGTGCTCATTAGGTGGACTTGGCACTTCCAGTGATGGAGAACTCACTACCTCATAAGAACTCCCGTTCCATTTAAGCTCTAGAAAATCCTCCTTTTTATTGAACTCGAAACTACCTCTCTATAAATCCCACACTTTGACTTCATTCCATCCTTCAGATCACGTAGAGCAAGTTCATACTGAGTCATAAGCAATAGCCCTTCTGATATCACCCCTCCCCTCAGGGGTTTTGTTTGTTTTATTAATATACTTATTTAAGATCAGTTTTAGACTTGCAGAAAAGCTGAGAAGCTACTACAGAGTTCCCTTATACCACTCCATACCTCACACCCAGTTTCCCCTACTATTAAAAATCTTGTATTTGTGTGGTATTTTAGTTACAACAATGAACTGACAGCGATACATTTTTAACTAAACTCCACACTTTAGGCAGATTTCCTTAATTGTCACTTAATGTCCTTTATCCATGTTCCTATGCAGGATGTCACATTACATTTCACTGTCATGTCCCCTTAAGCTCCTCTTGGCTGTGATAGTTTCTCAGACTTTGGTTGTTTTCAATGACCTTGCCAGTTTTGAGGAATACTGACCACGTATATTGTGGGTTGCCTTTCTATCAGAATTTGTCTGTTTTTCTCATGATGTGATTGGGGTTGTAGGCTTTGGGAAGAAGACCACTAAAGCAAAATGCCATTTCATCAAATTATATCAATGACACCTACTATCTACATGCTTCATGGTTGATGATGTTGACTAGATTACCTGGCCAAGGTAGTGTTTGTCTGGTTTCTCCTGTAAAGTTGCTTTTGTTCTCTTCTTTCCTTGTTATGCTTTTGGGAAACCAGCCACTATGCACAGCTTAAGAAGTGGGGAGTTGTGCTCCCACCCTCTGTGGTGGAGTATCTGTATAATATATTAGGTACTCTTCTGCATGGAAGATTTGTTTCTTTTCTTCTGCCAATTTCTTTATTAAATCATTCATTTATATCTGTATGGATTCATAGATATTTGCTTTAAAGTTTGTGTTACAAACCAACACTATTTTGTTGCTACAATTGTTCCAGCTTTGGCCATTGGGAACTTTTTCAGCTGGTTCCTATGCCCCTTTGACACACTCTCATCAATGTGTTTTTTTGTTTTGTTATTGTTTTTGTGTTTTTTTTACTCCTTCCTTACTTTATGTCACTAGAAGATACTCCAGGCTCATCTTGTACATTTTTTCAGTCCTAGAACCAATCATTTCTCTAAGGAGCTTGGTTCCTTTTACTGGAGAATGGTATTAAAAACCAAGCTGTGAGTGTTAGGTTCCCTTGTTTCTACTGGGGTGTTATTTCTTTTAGGACCTCTCAAGCTAATAAAACAAAGAAATGTGTGTGCATGTGTGTGTGTGCACACACACACGCACACACACGCACATGTATTAACCCTTGCATATACACATATTTATAAATATAACTATGTGTAACCATTTGTATGTACATTGAGTTAAACATGAGTTCCTACTTATGTCTCCAACTCTAATCTATTATCACATAGTGATAATGTTGATGTTGATCTTGATTATCTATAAATTCCAGTCCAACATTGGGAAACCTGGTTCCTGTCATCTGTAGTCCATTTATTTAGTCATCTGATTCCAGTGTATATGATGGCAGTATCAGAATTGTTAAACTCCCAGATATTTTATTTTATCTTCTCTCATGTTAAACATCTTCAATTCCTTTAACCATTTTAAGTTCAGCATCATCTTGCTCATTCTCCATCATTTCTAAGTCCATGATTTTCTTGTTTCATGAGAAATAACCAAAATCACTCTTCATTTTACAAAAGAGGAGAATGAGGTCTAGCACACACTTACCCTTGGCTTATACAAGGCACTGGTTTAAGCACTTTATGCATATGAACTCATTTAATACTTACAACAACCCTAGGAAGATGGTACTGTTATTATCTCCATATTACATGAAAAAAAGGTTAATAACTTGCCCCAGGTTAAACAACTAATCAGTAGTGGAGCTGGGATTTAAAACTAAGGTCTGATTTCAGAGTTTGTCTAATCGTTATTTTATGCCACATTGCTGCTAGAAGGGTCTTTCTGAAATACTGCTCTGCATATGTAACTCCCAGCCTTGCAAACTGTCAGTGATTCACTATTGCCCATTAGATAAAGATCACATATCTTACCTTAGCATTCAGTGCCTTCCACAATCCAGTGTACCCTCTGCTCCAGCTTACCCAGCATGAGCAGTGGAAACCCTCAGAGCATTCCCAGATATTGTCTCACCTAATGAACATGCTCTCTACCCTTCCTCCCAGTTAAAGCCCAGGCCAAGTGACACCCTTTCCACAAAGCCTCCTCACATCCACTTGGGAAGACTTTATTTACAGTGATCTCTTCCTTCTTTGTTGACACTCAATCTTCATGCCCTTTGTTTGGTATTTAGTTGTGTTTTGTTAATATATTTTTTTCTGTCCAGTCTCCCCAACTTGTTCTCAATGCTAGCTTGTCATTGTTGGTGATTGTTATAAGTTTTAGTCCCACAAACTTATTTGATGAGAAGTTGGGACTCTGAGATTTGTGACTGCAGTATTTTCTCAGATAGCATCATTGCCTTTTCAATAGACAATCAAATCCTGCATTAGTATATGTTAACGAATCAAGTTAGTTTGGTGTAAGGCTATGCAGCCCATTCTCCCTCAGAGCATGTCCCTATTCTAGGAGGTCAAGATGTACTATTCTAAATGGTTCCCTTCATTATAGCTCTGTAGAGTGCTTAGCTATGCTGGATGATATTAAAGTACTATACCCAGTTCCTATTTCAATGTGGCCAGTATACCAAATTTTATAGAAGTGGATCTGGCACCAGCTTGTCTCAGCTTTGGGTAAGTGTCATTCAGTTCCCTAAGAGACGGCTGGAAGGAGGGAACCCATGAGTTCTGCTTCAAAGAGCAGAACCTAGATTCAAACTGTAGCCTGTTTTTGCCAAACTTTAGTCATTTCAGTGCCACCTTCATGGTTTTTGCCATATCTCCATAACACTCACACTTTGTTTTTGTTTTTGTCTTTGCCTTAAAGTTTAATATCATTTTACATAGTAACAACTACAATATTACAGGTTTAATGTGCTATAGTTTTTACGTGGATACTAAAATAAATGCATAACCATTAGATAACTGTTATCTTGTATTATATACAATTATGTCACACACTTTCCTTGTGTGCTTGCCACCCTTTGGGGGACACAGCTCTGCTGTTTTGGTCTTTTTCCTCCAGACCCCTTTCTAGATGTGAAGTCTCTTCTGATCAATCACTGGTGTTCAGGCTGGTCTTCTGTATTCTAGTGGGTTCCACTAGGGCACCTTCAGAGCCACTCTGAGGGCATAAAGAGTCCCTTGGCAAGACTATGGGCATTTCCTTCTCTGTAGAAAGAACCGCTCAGCTTTTACTTCTTCCCCTATCCAGGGTGCCTAATTAAGATTTTATTTGAAGAAAGGCTTCTATGGATTTTTTTAAAAAGTATGAAGACCATAGTAAAATTCAATCCAGGATAAGCACTGTGAGAAAGAACACTTGTTTCTATATGCATTCATTCGTACATTCATTCAGCACTTCTTGAGCCTCTCTTAGCTCTTCCTAGCTTTGGGGTCAGGAGAGCTGGCTTCAAGTGTATCTTGATTGTGATAATGAAGCAAAACATATGTCTCAACAGCTTGAGGTAATAGCATGCTAAGCACTATTCCAATACTGTTGTACTTGATCTAGGTTGAGTGTAAGCCTTTGGTTCAAGTCCAGAAGCCACCTCCCAAGATCAAGAACCTCAGAATGACTCGACTCTTGCCTAAGGTAGGAAGTGATACTTAGTGTGTTTTCTCTAGGGAAGGATGAGGATAGGTAGGATAGCTTCCCAGCTACAGGGTAGCTTTTCAGAGGCATTTTTGGTCACCTCAGCATAATATGATGCATATGCTCTATCCACATCACCATTGCCTCATCTCCACACAGTTTTAAATGTTGCTATTCACTAGATAGATAGATAGATAGATAGATAGATAGATAGATAGACTACCTCTCATAATCAGTAAATCAGTCAGTCAATGCATGGGGGCAGGGGTCCAAGTGAGGTCAAATCAATAATGCAGAGGAGGTGGGAGCTTATGTTATACCAAGGAAGATGTAAATTATATAGCAGGAAGAACTGCCCCATATTATGGTGGTAAGATATTGAAATGATGATAATAATGGCTAACACTTATGGAATACTCTACATGAGTTGCCTCATTTACCTCACAAAACCCTTATGAGGTAGATCCCATTTTTGTCCCCATGGTAGTGAAGAGATAACTAAAACTTAAAGGAAGAGTTGTGTCACCCATTCAAGGTCTACAGCTGTACGTGATGGAGAAGGGATTCAAACCCACAGCCCATATGCTTTTCCACTCTATTTTCTCCACAAGAGCTTTGAAAATAGATTTAGGCCTGTATTTGGTTTAGGCTCATTCTTGCTCTGGTGGGAAACCTGGGAGAAATGACTCCCTGAAGACATAGATTTCTTGCCTGAGGCATCTGTACCTTATCCACTTCCTTCTTATATAGAATACAAACACCAGCATTACTTCACTCCCTTTTGTGGATACCAAGGGGAAGAAGAACATGGTTAACCTCGCACACATCAGCAACAAAATCTTGCTAAAGCCACCCTTGCTGTATCAGGTAAGTACAGGGCAATGGACCTGGCCCTGAGCAGGCAGGTTAAAGATGTGACTTCAGTCTACAACCAAGTTTATGAAGGCCTAGGATGGTGGGGAAAGCACAATGGCACCTGAATATTTGGGCTCTAGTCCTGTTCTCACCCCTTACGATGAATGCAAACCTTATCGAATAAATCACTGACCTTCTTTAATCAAAATGGGCTCTCTATAGGATTGTCATGAGGATTCTTTGTGGAAAGGAAGAATGAAATGTCTGATGTACAAATGGTAGAAGAATACAGAATAATTGTTTTCCTCCAGTGTCCCCTTTTTTTATGTAAGGGCCAAATGAGATGTGAGAAAGTGCCAAGTTAAAGAGGTATTATAGACACATAAGTTCACGTGTTCGTGCCCTTGGTCAAGTCACTTTATCTAGTTAGGAACTGGCCTTCTCCAGAGCAGCAGTAAAAAAAAAAAAAAAAAAAAAAAAAAAAAAAAAAAAAAAAAAAAAAGCAACAACAAAAAAACTATTCCATTTCTTCCTGCAGTAAGATGTCACTGGGGTAGTCAACTACACATGGTAATGTGCATGGGCCTCACAGAGAATCATGAGATTGATTCCTTTGAGAGGAAGATTGAGAAAACCTAATGTCTCATAATTACCATTTTCTCCATGGGAAGGAAGGAGAAGAGTCTGGCTGGATGTGGGTGTCCTTGGTCTGATAAATGGTTTGTGACACCCCGGAGAAGTCTAAGCAGTCCTTTATTTCAAGTCTCTTTGTCTGGACAGGAGAATCAGACTCACAATCAGATGTCAGCTTCTGAGCTCAAGACTTCAGAAATGCCTTTCCATTCAAGCATTAAAACCCAAGATCCCAAGCCAGAGGAGAAACCACCAAGAAAGCACAAGGTGCCTCTGACAGCAGCAGGTATGTCTCTGGAGTGGTAGCAGAGTATAGTGGGGGCTTGTTCTAGATGGCCAAGGTGTCACAAGATGAACTGGGTGGGGAGGGCTAAGCTTCCAGGTGTTGGGCCAGAAAAATCACACATCAGTTTTTGGCCAGGAGCCTCACTTCTCACAAGGTTCAGAGATTCATCCTCTATTAGAATTCAAAGGAGGAGAACCAATATCCACTATGCCGACACTATCCAATGCTTAGAGCTCTTTACTTGCAGCTTTGAAATTATTGTCCTTCTTCTTAAACAATCTCGGGAACCATCCATGACCACATCACTTCAGTTCTGAGCTAGTTCTGCCTTTACAGAGCTGATATCTGCTCCTAGTGCTCTTAGGTCATGGTTCTGTCTTCTGAGCTAAGAATATGCCATTTTCAGCTTTCACATGACTGCCCTTCACACAGGTTTTCTCTCTCATGTCTTGTTTCCTCCCAGCAGTTCCCTCTCCTACCCCACCTGCCCTCAGACCAAACACCAAACACCTGATGGGGTTTGGCAATCAGTGAGGGTTAGAGAAGAGTGAACACACATTCCTTCCTTGTAGTTGGAGGTACTCATTGGCTTAGCTGCAGATTTGAGTGGGAATATCTCCTGGGCCCCTTTAAAGTTGCATTTAAACTACCTGTCGGGTCCTTGAAGTCATTATAGTTTGCAAACCCTCCCAGGATAAACCATTTGTGTAGCCCCAAACCATATTAACTTGGAAACTGCTGCCATAACTACATACTATTATTGACACTAGGTTTATGTCTGGAATTTTTACCATGCTGCTGCAACTCATAGCTTTTTGAGGTCTAAATTCTCCCTTTCCCTTCCCTTGTGTTTCCCTCCTGATTTGTTGAAATGAATATGACACCTTAGCATTTATCCTTTACATTTTTATCCTGTGAGATTAAAGACACATGATCCTTAGTAAGCCATCTAGTTGAGGAAAAGGGTGACTGACTCATGAGCTGGAAGGGGTGCCATCATCAGCCCTCTGGGAAAATCCCCTTGTTGCCTCAACTGACAATGATAGTGTCTTTCACACAGAGGCCCTAAAGTTTTTTAAGAACCAGCTGTCTTCTTATGAACAAAGTGAGATCCTGGGCTACACGGAGCTGTGGTTCCTGGGGCTGGAAGCAAAGAAGCTCCACGTGACTCCTGAGTTCAGCAAAACGAGTTTTGATGATGAACATGGCTCCTATATGAAGGTGACAGGGGAGTAGATCATGGTATCTCCAGGGGCCTAGGGCTTGGGGACAAGAGGTAATCTGGAAAGGAAAAAAGTGTGGGGTATTTTATAGCATTTGGTGCCAATATACCTTGGACTAGGCATCCTGAAGGATTCTAGTAGGTTCTAAACCAAAGAAATGCCATGTTTAAAAATGGGAAATGGGAACATGCCATGTTTAAAAATGGGAAAACATGCAATTAATATAACAACTACTCTGCTAACAATACTGATTTCTCCAAGAGTATTTGGGGTAACAGATTTGCATCCTTGGCAAATTCCCACAGGCTCTTCTTGTGCACAAACCTGGACCCATTGGAAAGGCCAGACTCCATGGAATAAGATGCATTCTTCCCAGCATTCTCTTTTTTGGGTCTTTCATACAAGTCCACACATGGACCTCTTTCAATTTTATTTTAATTGCCATTTACTCTCAACCAAAAAAAAAAAAAAAAAAAAGTTCTTGTCACTGTAGCCCCTGGTCCCTAATGCTCAACTTTCTTCAGTTTTCCAAAGATGGATCCTAGCAAAGATGAATCTCTCCTCCTTTCTGATTGTATCTGAGAATTCCTCAGGACAGTGCCTCTTACCAGCCTGAAGGTGAAATCTGGGCGGTGAAAAGTGTCTCTTTTGCTTTGGAAAGAAATGTCCACTTCCAAAGATGTCCAGATGTGTGTGATACTTAGTCCATTAGGTTTTTGGGCTGCTGGGAATTTCCTTCTCTGGTCATTTTCTCACAACTCATTTACATTTAAAGGAGACAAGATTGGTCTGCGAGGCTTCATAGAATAGACATACTTCTTAAGAGTATTTAGAGCTATGTTTCTCAAACTTTACTATGTACACAAATTACCTAGGGATCTTGTGAAAAATGTGGGCTCTTATCCAGCAGGTGTGGGATGGGACCTGAGATTTTGCCTTTCTCAAAATCTGCCAGGTGATGTCCATGCTGCTGGTTCTTGGGCCACACTCTGAAAAGGATGGATTTAGTTTCTAGCACACATCCTCTATCTAGTGCCCTGGTTCTCAACATTTTTAGGCAAAGGATCCCTTTAGGAGTCTGACAAAAGCTATCAGTCCTCATCCCAGAAGAGGCACCCTGAACACACACAAAGTTTCAAAGAGGGATAGGTTAATAATGGATCCTTGGTCAAGAATCACCAATGTAAACCTTACCTCCAATTCATCCAGATATCCTCAACCCCTTCCCTGCCCACCCTCCTACCCGGGCATAGAATCTCTGGGAAATTCCCCAGCAATGCCAGCACTACCTTTAAGTTAATTCACTGAAACTCAGTTCCTCAGTCTTAAATCTTAGGCAGCTATGTTACTGGTGGAGGCAGGAAGGGGGATAACATATGCTCACTGTACACTCAAAATCTCCATCTTCATTACATTCTGCACATACAAATAGACAATTCACTGAACCAAATTCCGAAACAAGCAGCCCACTGCATTCTCATTTCTATTCTGTCAGCAAGTGTTAATTTAATACCTATTTATTGAGAGAGAAACTACCATGCTGGGGCATCTGCTAGACTCTGGAAATATGAAGGGAACAATAAAAATGAGTACAACTTGATCCTTGGCCTCAAGTGATGACAATCATTGTCAAAGTTGACATGTAGACAAATAATTATGATATATCCAAACTGGTGGCCTGTGTAAAATATATACCAAATACCTTTACACCAGCATGTGCAGAACCTGTCCCTTTCCCTTTCCCTGTACATTTTTATGACAGACCTTTATAGGTGGAGTAGTCCACTTCCACATATTAGTAAAGTTGTACCTGTTCATATTCATGATCTTGATTCCTGCTGTATGAACAAATCACCACCACAGAATCACAAGCACATCCTGAGAACTTGTACACAAACATTTGTCTTTCACCTCTCCCAAATTCATGAATATAAAACTAGGAATCAGGGATTCTCAGAGCCTTAGAAGTTCTTTTTTATAAATAAATAAATAAATAAATAAATAAATAAATAAATAAATAAATAAATAAATTTTTAAATTTACATCCAAGTTAGTTAGCATATAGTGCAACAATGATTTTAGGAGTAGATTCCTTAATGCCCCTTACCCATTTAGCCATTCCCCCTCCCACAACCCCTCCAACAGCCCTCTGTTTGTTCTCTATATTTAAGAGTCTCTTATGTTTTGTCCACCTCTCTGTTTTTATATTATTTTTGCTTCCCTTTCCTTATGTTCATCTATTTTGTATCTTAAATTCCTCATATGAGTGAAGACATATGATATTTGTCCTTTCCTGACTAATTTCACTTAACATAATACCCTCTAGTTCCATCCATGTAGTTGCAAATGGCACGATTTCATTCTTTTTTGATTGCCCAGAAATACTCCATTGTGTGTGTGTGTGTGTGTGTGTGTGTGTGTGTGTGTGTGTGTACCACATCTTCTTTATCCATTCATCTGTTGATGGACATTTAGGCTTTTTCCATACATGCCTATTGTCAATAGCACTGCTATAAACATTGGGATGCATGTGCCCCTTCAAAACAGCACACCTGTATCCCTTGGATAAATACCTAGTAGTGCAATTGCTGGGTCATTGGGTAGTCCTATTTTTAATTTTTTGAAGAACCTCCATACTATTTTCCAGAGTGAGCCTTAGAGGTTCTTATCCAGAACCTTCAGTTACAGATGAGGGCACTCAGCTCAGAGTGAGTAAGTGACTTGTCTGAAGACACACAGATAAAGTCTTTTTAATTGAAGGTTTCCTGTTGCTGTGAATAAATACCTGTTCTCTAGTTTGCAGCCCATGAAGGGACATGGGTGATTCTGGGTCTTGGAAAATGCTCCTCCTCTTAGTTGAGAAAGAGTCTAGTTCTGTACTGCTAACTCCAAGTTAGAATTAAATCTGGATGAATCAAGAGGAGAACCAGATCTGACCAGAAGGAGGCAGAGCAGACATGAAGCCTTCTCTGATTGGTGGAGACACATCAGGGGAAAGAAAGAGAACTTCCTCCACACTGAAGCTGCTGCTCAACTGCATTCAAGAATCAGGAAATGTCTAAACTGGAAGCGACCTTAGAGCCACTTTGTTTAATCCTCTTGCTTTATAGGTTTCCACACATGTGGAAAACTAGAGGTGGTAGCAGGACTGGGACTAGAACCCAAGTTTTCTGAAGACCATCCAATGTTCTTTGCACTGTATGACAGATAGAACCTGTGGGATTTTCCTGGCACCACATGTGGAGCCTGGGATCTAGGCAACAACCTAACCACTGCAGCAGCAATGAGAGGAGGGTGGGAGTTGCACCAATGCCTGGCAGTTCAGAAAGTTCCCTCTAGGAGTCAGCCCTTAGCTGACTCAGGGGCCCCAGTGTGAGGGAAGTCCCAGAGTTTATGGCTCTGTTCCTCACTCTGGCCTGGCTTCTGCAGGTCCTGCATGACCACATTGCCTACCGCTATGAGGTTTTGGAGATGATCGGGAAAGGGTCCTTTGGACAGGTGGCCAAGTGCTTGGATCACAAAAATAATGAGTTGGTGGCCTTGAAAATCATCAGGAACAAGAAGAGGTGTGGCTTGGCAGATGGCATAGACCATGGTGGGCGGGGGTGGGGGGGTTGCCTGCATGACTCTGGCCCCTTCATAATGCCAACCCTTCCTGACTCTGCCTTTTCTTCTGATCTTCCTCATCTTTTTCCTCTTTCTCTCTCTACCTATCTGATTCCACGATGGGGCAAAGAGGGGGCAAGAGTGTGGAGCTTTTAGTGCTTTCTGCCCCTCTGGACAGTCTTGCTGGGGAGATGGGGAGAGGCTCGGGAAAGGGGCTTACTGCTGCAGCATGACATAACACTGTGTCCTCTGTCCCCATTGTCTGCCCTCCCTGCCACTCCCTGACCCCTTCAGATTTCACCACCAGGCACTGGTGGAGCTGAAGATCCTGGAGGCTCTCAGAAGGAAGGACAAAGACAACACCTACAATGTGGTGCACATGAAAGACTTTTTCTATTTTCGCAATCATCTCTGCATCACCTTTGAACTCTTGGGGTCAGCTGCTTTTCATCTTTAATTCATTTTCTTTTGAAAAGTTGCTTAAATTGACAGAAGAAAAACTTTGAGGTCAGAACACTAGATTTTTCTGGGTGTGAATATTTAATGACTAGAGTGGACACAATGGCCACTCAGTTATCTAGAAAGCCAAGGAGCAAAGAGCTGGACCTAAAGCTACCCATCTCACCCTATCCCTCAGTCATGCCTGTCAACTGCCAGCATACCCTGGCTGTGCTGCACAAGCTCTGGGTGACAAACTGGGTGACATAACCAATACAAGGTCTCTGCCCTCAAGACTGAAACTTAGATATGTTGGAAGGGACTGTCCTTGTCCATGTCTCCACTCACTGGCTTTATAATTCTGTGGTGCAGTTGTTGGAAACCAAGGGGACAGGCAGCTAGCTTCTCAGCATAGGGAAAGAACTATGATTTTGAGAAAATAAGGATACGAGCAGATATTTTGGGGCAGGGAACAGAACCTGACTGAAATAGACTGGCATCACCTTGCTGAATATTGGAACTGGAAGGGTGTGCTAATTGGAAGGGCATGCTAGTTTGATTACTTTTCTCTCTGAGAAGACCGTATTTCACAATCTGAACAAAATCAGAAACCCAGAGTGCATTTAGCAAAAGGGGATAATTGGGGTAGGCTCTCAGAGGCCCAGTGTTATGGGATTCACTGAGCTGGTAGCCTGGGGCTCCCAGGACACCATTGCTGTCAGTGAAATTCTGGGAACCAGCTAAATTTGAGTCGGAAGGATGACACCCTTCTCACCATCTCTGATGAGTGCAGAATGTGCTCTGCTTTCCAGTAGGCAGAGATGAGTTATCTTCCATGCGTCAAAATGGACAAGCCAGGCTGCCTAGAAAGGCACAGTACACAGTTAGATGCCATTGTTCTTAAAAGAGCCCTGAGAGGTCGGGAGGGGCAGGTGTGCAAAGGGAGAATCCAAAGACCAAAGGGGCTGGGAGTTTCCCAGGGTCACACAGCCAGTCAGGATGAGGCTGGAGCTTCACATCTTCTCTGTACCCCTCAAGAATGAACAGCTTCCTAAATCCTGCCAGTGTTAGAGAAGGCTTAGGAATGGAAGATTGGAAACTAGGAAGAAGTTGATGCAGAGTTGTTTCTGGATCATGCCCTTTCTTTCCCACCTCTCCCCAAATCGCTGAGGTTTGCAGAGTCACAAACTAGCAGCCCGTGGATACTCTTTTCTTGTTAAAATCTTTGCATTTGTTTCCAACATTTGTAAGTCAGCATATTTCATATAATAGAGCAGACTTCCATACAGTAGTGCAGGCTTCTGCCTGTCTAAAAACTTTAGGGTAATCTAGCAAGACTAAACCCTGTCAGATGGGACCAAGCAGCCAGGCTCACTTTAGATGGGGTCGGGCTTCTCCATTTTGCCTCAGCCCCCATCTGCCCACTCTCTTTTTCCCTTACTTGTCAGGAACCTGATGTCTTTAGATAGCCTTGTCAATTTGGGGCAGGAGTGGCCACTTTGTTGGGTGTTGGACTTTCTAGATCCCTTCCAAGGGCCTAAGAAGCTATGAATATTTCAGAAGTTTGGTCCAACCTTTTAACACCCACATGTGTAACAAAGTGGTTTAATGACCTTGCCACATAAGAAACAAGGGGGCATCAGAGAGGCCAGCACAGTTGGGCTTCACATTGGATCCACCATGAATCAAAGGGAAAATTGAGGTTATACGACACAAAAGTCTTGCCTCCTGGTCTGAGACTTGCCTACTACCAGAGGAAATCAAGTGATATGGGATGGTTTGTGGGTTCAAAGTAAGTATTAGACCTTTTGCACTGATACATACACATCACTCTCTCTCTTTTCCAGAATCAACTTGTATGAGCTGATGAAGAATAATAGCTTTCAAGGCTTCAGTCTGTCAATAGTTCGGCGCTTCACCCTCTCTGTTTTGAAGTGTTTGCAAATGCTTTATGTAGAGAAAATCATTCACTGTGATCTCAAGCCTGTGAGTACAAGCTCTGTCCTGTCGAGGGAGCTGTTTCCCACCCTCAGAAACTTCCCTGTTCTATTCTCCAGTGGAAACTGGGAAGCTGTTTGGCCAAGGTTTCAGGGTGGAAGCCAAGTAGTTATGTTTATACATTATGTAAACCAAGAATGATGCAGTAAAGATTAAGGGACAGGTATCAAGGCAATGCAGAGAGATGTGGCATCACTGAGACAGGAAGGAACAGGAAGGTCTGAGGGCTTTCCTATGAAAGGCTTAAGGGTGTACAGAGATGTTTTATGCAGAGAGATGGAGCACTGCTGTACTAAATCCTGACTCTGTCCCTTCTAGTCTGAAGTGGTCTTAAGGGTACAGCAAATCTCTGACCACTTCCTCCGTTCCAAAAGGATATGCCCTTCTCACAGGTCCTGCTGGTATTCTGTACTTAGCTCTACTATTGCACTGGTTGCTATGTAGGAATGGTTTCTTTATCTTCCACTGACTGCAAGCTCCCCCAAGGTCAGGGACCATGTCTTCTCACCATTTTATTCCCAGGCTCTGACATGGTACCTGACAATAATAATGGTAGGCAACAAATTAATGCTTGTTAGAAGAATTAATGATTGCAAACTGGAGGAGTACAGGTAGCTAGGGGAAAGGTATAAGAGTGTGAAAATGTGGGGTCAGGAACTGGTTCCAGAAACAGCATGACCCTCACAAATATTTAAATATCCCTTAACTTTTCCTCATTCCCTTCTCCTCACCCACCCCAAAAATTTTTGAGTTTTTAATTTTAATGCCAGTATAGTTAACATACAGTGGTATATTAGTTTCAAATATACAATGTATTGATTCAACAATTCTATATATTACTCAGTGCTTATCATGATAATTGTGCTCTTTAATCCCCATCCCCTATTTCACCCATCCCCCTCCACCTCCTCTCTGGTAACCTTCAGTATGTTCTCTATAGTTAACAGCCTGTTTCTTGGTTTCTCTCTCTCTCTCTCTCTCTCTCTCTCTCTCTCTCTCTCTCTCTCTCTCCTTTCCCTTTGCTCATTGGTTTTGTTTCGTAAATTCCACATATGAGTGAAATCATATGATATATGTCTTTCTCTAACTGACTTATTTCACTTAGCATTTTACTTTCTAGTTCCATCTATGTTGTTGCAAATGGCAAGATTTCATTCCTTTTTATAGCTGAATAATATTGTATTGCTTATATATACACATCTTCTTTATCCACTCAGCTTCCATAATTTGACTGTTGTGAATGATGCTGCTATAAACATAGGGGTGCATGTATCCCTTTGAATTAGTGTTTTTGTATTTTGGGGGTAAATACACAGTAGTGCAATTAGTGGATCATAAAGCAGTTCTATCTTTAACTCTTTGGAGAAACTCATCAGGTAAATGTGAGATATTTTTAAAATTAAATATTGACAAGATAGGGTTGTTCTTTCAGGGTTTACTGGTGGAGTCTCACAGGATAGTGATACATTGATTTATTCTCCATATTCAAGCTTTGCAGCTTCAAAGGGTTACAACATCCATGGTCTTTGGGCTTAGGGTACTGACGCTTACTAACGAAATTGACATGACATAATAGGTTTACTTGAGAAATAGTAACCTAGAATATATGTGCCCAGTAGAAAAGTACACATGCAACCAGGAGAGTGCTTGGTGTGTGTAGATCAAGAATCAGGGAGTTAATTCTTATGTACTCAAAGGTTAGTTTCAATGACCTGTGATGCATCCATCCCTTATATAGAGCTGTTTCTGTCAATATGGTAGGAAGGCCTGCCCCATTTAGTTAAGGAGACTTTCCATTGGGATGCAGACACACTGGAAATGTCTGCTTCTTAAACACTTGCTGATTGAATTCTTCAAGTTATATAGATATTGTCTAGAAAAGATATTATGGACTAAGTTTGTACTTTCTTAATTTGTGGTGCCAGAGGCTTTAGACCAAGCCTGCTATGCCATATCAATAAAGTTAAGGAACTCAGTAAGCAAGCAATTAATCTGATATTCATAATCATCAATCCATCTGATATTGAGAGCCATGAAGCCATGACTGGGACTTTAATCTTCTAGCCTTTAGGTAGTACATCCTCATGTTCTAAGAGTCCATGAGCTCTGCTTGCTTAACCATGACTATCCTGGGATGTTGGTTTCACATTGCCCCCGAAGTTAGCAAAAGAATCACAACTCGAATTAAATTATTGCCCTTTTTTTTTGTCCATTACTGACATATCAGTATGTTGGTGGAGCACTTAATGGAAACATTAAATTGTCAGTGATATTTCTAAGACCTTATGCAAGCAAGGGATAGAAGCAGGTGCCAAGGAGAGAAAAATAAACCACAGTGTTCAGGAATTACACATTCTATATGCAGAAAGAGACAAAATCTATGCAAAAGAAATACTTCAAAGCAGCAAATACTGAGTCCAAACAAGAGGTGCAGACCACAAATTGAATAGGAAGTCAGAGGAATACGGAGAACATGGTGTTTGGAGAAGGCATGGGAGGAGGCCCACTTGGAGGTGGTCACATTTTGAACTGGGTCCCAGAAGATGGCAGGCATTCAGGTAAACAGAGTGTGTAGAGCAAGGTTTTTAAAACCTAACTATGTCTTTCTTCTTCTCTCTAGGAGAATATAGTGTTATACCAAAAGGGCCAAGTCTCTGTTAAGGTCATTGACTTTGGATCAAGTTGTTATGAACACCAGAAAGGTAAGCCCATTCTGGCCCCTTTGTCTGAATTTTTCTAATGTGAGTTCTTTCCCTTACTGAAACAGTACTTCCCATGCGAGGTCACCTGGGCTCTAGTCTGGGCTCAGTCACAACAATTGCAAGAATGATTTTGGACAAGGTGCTTCACTTCTCTAAGTTTCCTGATATACAAAATGAGAAGATCGGACTCAAATACCGTAAGGGTCCTTTGCAGCACTCAGATTCTGTGAATCTGGAATTATCCTAGTGCCTTGGGTCCCCAAACTAACCAGATGTATATCTGAATCACTTGAGGCCTCTAAAAAATTACAGCTCCCAGGGCCTCACCTCAGATGCACCGAACCTAAGTTTCTGGGGGAACACCCAGGGGTCTGCATTTTAGAGTACACAGCCATTCTGAGGTTTGGGATTCACTGCCCTAGGCTCTGTAGACTATATATTTTCCAGGTTAGAATCCAGAAAGCATCCCTGGAGCACATTTGCATAAACTTCACTGAACTTGATTTAAGTGTCTCTTCTTTTGACTTTTATCAAATTTGATGGCAAGAACATGTACCATTTAACAAACACTTAGAGTATCTTCTATGTGTCTGTTACTGTTCTGGACACAGGAACAACAAAATAAACCCAACATGTTCTGTGCTCTGCTTGCTTACAGTTCAACGGAAGAAACAAAGATACAGGTAATATGACAGGTGCAGTGATTACAAATATGTACAGACTGGGTTAAGGGCCCACCAAAGAGGGACTTTGGGACCAGCTTTCATGGTGGCAGGGGATATCAGAGGACCCTCTTCATCAGAGGCTGAAAAAAAACCCTGAAAGATGGCTGTTTCCAAATATTTTGCAGCACTACTTTTGAAGACACATGTTCTTTACAATTTATGTATGGAACCCCAAAGAAATTCCAGCTAGAAAACAATATGCCTCCCACAAAGCACTCATCTGCTTACTCTTCTCAGCTACAAAAGCATGCAACCTCTTGTCTTGGCTGCCAGGATGCTCCAAATGGAATTTATAATGATCCTATCCTTATTTCAGATAGTCATTTCCCCTTTACATATTTTCTGACTTCCTTTTATCTTTATTTTAGCCAGTATAGACTCAAACATCCCGAGCTCAAATCCCAGCTCTGCCACTTACAGCTTACTGACTCTAATTATTTCTTGAATCTTTGTATGCCTCAGTTTTCTCATTTTTAGATGGGAACAATAATAGTATCTGCTTCATAGGGTTGTTGTAAGGACTGAAAGGGTTCTCTGTACAAAGCACTTGGAATAGTGCCTGGCACATGTTAAGGATTATATAACTGTTCATTAAATCAATTTTTAAAGAACTATGCTGTGCATATATGTACTTTGATTGCAAATTACATCAAATCCATTTTGGAAGCAGGCAGAGTATAAAAGTCATTTTTATTATGTATTTATTTTGTTTATTTATTTTTTATTTTTATTTTTATTTTTATTTTTTTTTAATTTTTTTTTCAACGTTTTTTATTTATTTTTGGGACAGAGAGAGACAGAGCATGAACGGGGGAGGGGCAGAGAGAGAGGGAGACACAGAATCGGAAACAGGCTCCAGGCTCTGAGCCATCAGCCCAGAGCCTGACGCGGGGCTCGAACTCACGGACCGCGAGATCGTGACCTGGCTGAAGTCGGACGCTTAACCGACTGCGCCACCCAGGCGCCCCTGTTTATTTATTTTTTAATGGCTATTTACTTATTTTTGAGAGAGAGAGAGAGAGAGAGAGAGCACAAATGGAGGGGCACAGAGAAAGGGAGACAGAGAATCCCAAGCAGGCTCTGCACTGTCAGCACAGAGCCTGATGTGGGGCTCAAACCCACGAACTATGAGATCATGACCTGAGCTGAAACCAAGAGTTGGATGCTTAACCAACTGAGCCACCCAGGCACCCCTATCTTTATTGTATTTTAAATCACAAAATTATTACCTGTTTTCTCTAACCAATGCAAACAACAGAGAAGTGACTGCAGAATCCCTGTCCCACCCCTATAACAGCATGTGGAAATCACTATAACATCCCATTTCTCCTACCACTGTAAAATCTAGGCTTCCCACAGTACTGTCTTCTTCTGCTGGCTTCATTTGCTCAGATTTTGTTGGGGTCTTCCTTCTATACTTTATGCAATGCACATAATATATTCAATACACATTAGAAGAGTCTGCATTTTGTATTTCTTTTTCCATTTTAATATGCCTCTTCCCTTGCCAAATCACAATACTTTCAGAAAGTTTCTACCCCAGGGGCACCTGGGTGGCTCAGTCGATTGGGTGTCCAACTTCAGCTCAGGTCATGATCTCACAATTCATGGGTTTGAGCCCCACGTCGGGCTTTGTGCTGGCAACTCAGAGCCTGGAGCCTCCTTCGGATTCTGTGTCTCCCTCTCTCTCTCCCCTCCTCCGCTCATGCTCTGTCTCTCTCTGTCTCAAAAATAATAAACATTTTTTAAAAATAAAAAAAAAAGAAAGTTTCTACCCCAAATTCACATGATAGTTGAAAATTTAGCTTTATATTAATTTTAAGTTTATTTATTTATTTTGAGAGATGAGATTAAATATGCAGTGTGACTCAGATGTGCTGGTTGGCTGTCCTTCCATCTCCCTGCCAAGCTGAGAGAGTGAAAAGTGGTAGGGAGTGTTAGTTATCCTGGGCCCTCACATGAGAAGGTGCCCTGGAGGAGCGTGTTTTGGAGAGGAGGATTTTACATGGTGGCTCTCTTTCTTTCCTCACAGTATATACCTATATCCAAAGCCGGTTCTACAGATCCCCAGAAGTGATTCTAGGCCATCCCTACAACATGGCCATTGATATGTGGAGCCTGGGCTGCATCATGGCTGAGTTGTACACGGGCTACCCTCTGTTTCCTGGGGAGAATGAAGTAGAGCAGCTAGCCTGCATCATGGAGGTGAGGAGGAGGACTGAGGTCCCACAGGGTGGTCAGCTTACACTCTGAAACATGGGGCTGCATCAGACTCGCTGTAGGGCAGTGGCCTGAATACTTCCTATTGCTGTTGCATGTTCTCTAAAATATTTGTGGAATTACGTGCCCCTCTGTACATTTTTGAGTTGACACCTAGCATTTTTATCATAAATTTAAATAGTTGCAGAGGATGAAATTTCCAGCATATTGTGAATAGTGACATTTTATTTATGTATTTATTTATTTATTTATTTATTTATTTATCATTAACACTTTTTTAAATTCCAGTATAATTAACATACAGTGCTATATTAGTTACAGGTATACAATGTAGTGATTCAACATATTTCTTAGTGTTCACCATGATAAGTGTATTCTTAATCCCCTTCACCTATTTCATCCATTCCCCTTCCCACCTCCCCTCTGGTAGCCATCAATTTATCCTCTATAGTTAAGAGTCTGTTTTTGTTTTTTGTTTTTGTTTTGTCTCTACTTTCTTTGTTAATTTGTTTTGATTTTTAAATTCCAAAAATAAGTGAAATCATATTGTATTTGTCTTTCTCTAATTTATTTCACTTAGCATTATACTCTCTAGCTCCATCTATGTTGTTGCAAATGTCAAGATTTCATTCTTTTTATGGCTGAATAATATTCCATTATACACACACACACACACACACACACACACACACACACACATATATATATATATATATATATATA